TAGCAAATAGCCATCCTATCAACTTATCACCTGTCGGCCACAAAAGGTAACCCCGGAGGCCACAAGAACACCTGATTACGATAAACAGACAAGTTACAGACTATCCTTGTCATATAATTAAACACAGATACTTACGACCGGTAAGGTCTGATCAACGATAAAGTAGCCAACATACAGGGGTTTCATTAGAGCCCCATGAACTACAAATCAATTTCCCCGATATTTATTCTTGAAACGATCACTGAATAATAATTCAGTTAATATTTTACAGTGGTGTATCGCTTTGCCCTTCATATGGCATTTTTGTCAAATTCAGCCAATCAGACGATCAAATGACTGCGTCAGAGTACAGTTGCATAAGTTATTAACTCAGTCAAAAAAATTAACCAGAAACCAACTTTATTGGATGTGTAATTATCAATGGGTTATATTATGAATGAGGAGTGTCACTGTCGCGGAACTCTGATCAAGACAAATAGCAGGTGCACCCGATTTTGCAGACATTTTTTGTTTTGTTTAATTTTGTGAGCAGCGATGTTTATTACACTGCGTTCGAATGCTTTGATCAAAACACACATTACTACTAGAGTTCCACCATCCTCGAAATTCCACACTAAATTACCGGAACGACGATATTACTGTACATTTCGATCCTAGGCATGCTTTGTCAGTTTGAATTTGTATTCCAAATCTCTAGAGTCATGAAGTCTGTGCGCAGATAGGCGATAATCGTTAGAAATTGGGGTTGCAGACAGATGATCAAAATTTAAAAAAAAAATCGAAATTATGTTTTTCGCCATATTCACGTCGAGTAAGATTATTCAATAACACTTTAAGTACATGTTATAACCGCAAAGAAGAGCTTCACATATAGAAAACGGAACAGCACAAATGAGTAACCTCCCTTTGTCATGTTATTGTCATATTTTTTTAAAATCAACAGGAACTGATATGGTGCGAATCGTAAGCCTGATAAAGGGACAACAGATGTAGTGCCAAAATAAAAATACAGACCGATACAAGTCAATTGAATCACTTCGAGACTGTTGAAGTTTATGGAACAAATTACTTCGCTGGTTAGAGCGAAGTGTCTGTCTGCGCAGACGTCAGATCGGCGAAGAAAAAACTTATTCTTACGTCATGTCGTCTTAGGCATTCGGAACCTGTTGTGATAAATCCCCCGAAGTTACACAGCGCTAGACACGATGACATACTGGGAGTATATATACAACAAAGTATAGCCTTTGTAAGGAAATGCAATGAATGCAACAGGCAGATTTTTTTTTAAAACAGTATTTCACGCACGCCGTTAGATAGCATGAACAGTTGTTTATACCCTGTAATGACATGTCTCCTCCATATAAGTACGAGGTCAGGTATGCCGTCACACAATGTGTGCCCTCTTACATATAAGTATGACGTCAGTCAATGTGTGCCCTCATCCATTTGATCATGACGTTGCGTGTCCTTATCCAGGAAATGTATGCATGACGTCAGTGTGTGCTCTCTTCTATGTTTTAAGTATGACGTCAACTAATGTGATAATTTAGAAGCAATGGTATACCTCCCCTCCATCCTCTCCCAAAGTAAAATTAGGAACTTCCGATCCCCCGATCGTCTCTGGATCCACCCGTGCCACAAATACCAAGCTGCCTATATTTCTTGCTACCTATTCTCAATCACCTAGGAACCATGAATCTCAACATTAGTTTATTTGGTTATACGGATATGCGCTGTAGACTGTACCAATCTAACAGCTGTAGACGTTTTGTTTGACCATACTGACATGTTCTGTAGAACGGCTGTGGACGTTTTGTTTGGCCATACTGACATGTACTGTAGACTGTACCAATCTAACAGCTGTAGACGTTTTGTTTGACCATACTGACATGTTCTGTAGAACGGCTGTTGACGTTTTGTTTGGCCATACGGACATTTACTGTAGACTGTACCAATCTAACGGCTGTAGATGTTTTGCTTGACCATACTGACATGTTCTGTAGACTGTACCAATTTAACGGCTGTGGACGTTTTGTTTGGCCATACGGACATGTTCTGTAGACTGTACCAATTTAACGGCTGTAGACGTTTTGTTTGGCCATACGACATTTACTGTAGACTGTACCAATCTAACGGCTGTAGACGTTTTGTTTGGCCATACTGACATGTTCTGTAGACTGTACCAATTTAACTGCTGTGGACGTTTTGTTTGGCCATACGGACATTTCCTGTAGACTGTACCAATCTAACGGCTGTAGATGTTTTGCTTGACCATACTGACATGTTCTGTAGACTGTACCAATTTAACTGCTGTGGACGTTTTGTTTGGCCATACGGACATGGTCTGTAGACTGTACCAATCTAACTGTTGTATACGTTTTGTTTGGCCATACGACATGTACTGTATACTGTACCAATATAACTGCTGTAGGCATTAGGTCAGCTGATCGATGCCCTAAATAGCATAAGGTCTGGGAATGTTCAGACTTATTTAGATTTAATTATGTGAATCCCCTTCTACTTGACAGCAGACTCCATAAAGGGACTGAAATATATCCAGAAAAGACTTGTGATGACCGCCCGTCCCTCTATTCTCTATCACTCCTCTTCGTTTGCATTACTTCACGACATGAGAAAATCGCACTGAAAGGCACAGACACGTGTCTTTTCGCAATATTCCCAAATAGTCTTGATCATTCTTAAACTCTTTCCTTTTCAATTACGTATTATATGCAGTTCTTCATAAACGTTTGATTTTAGCTCACAAGAGGCTCACTAAATGAATAATAATTTAATAGAGATGCGTTTTATATACTTCAGATATAGTAAGGACGAGATATATGAAGTCTAGCCAATAGCAAATACTGTTCTTAGACTTGTTTCATAAAATCTAATAGGAGATGGGAACTAATTTAAGATCTAATATTCCTCGCCCCTCTTACAAGGGCGACATATCTAAGGACTAGCCAATGGCAAATTGATTATGTAAAATCAAATGACAACGGTCCATTAAGCTATGGCAACAAGCAAACAACAGACGACCCGGAGACAGCCAGGTTTAATTGTTGATGGTAATTTCCCTCCGTCTCTTATCTACATTTCCTTTTCAGGTTGTCTCCCTAGGCCGTTATAGATCGCTGTTAGAATCACGCGTCATGTCTAGATTCCAGAGAATGATTCTTCAGTAAGACTTGGCCCTTGACCATGAATAGCAACATTATCCATATGGACACGCTGTTATGTGACTTAGCGAAGACACTATATAATCAAATTATATCAATCAATCATGTTCCAGGCAAATGTACAGCATATAATGTAATTCGTGCTACAAAATATAAAAATCGGCACCCTTGATACATGTAATTAACAATAATGGACTTTTCCTGAGGTGAAAATGAGGTTTATGAAAACCTAAGAAAGCGATATTAACGAAGTAAGCTGTATTGTAATTAGAGGTTATTGAGAACGAGTAGAAATGTTGTATTGCATGGTCATTGGAGGTCATTGTGAGGGACTAGATATTCAATTGGCGGTGTTGTATTACAGGGTTATTAGAGGTCATTGTGAGGGACTAGATATTATATTGGCTGTGTTGTATTACTGGGTTACTGGATGTCAGTGTGAGGGACTAGATATTATATTGGTTGTGTTGTATTACAGGGTTATTAGAGGTCGTTTGGAGGGATTAAGAGATTATGTTGGCTGTGCTGTATTACAGGGTCATTAGAGGTCATTGTAAGGGACTAGATATTCTATTGGCTGTGTTGTATTACAGGGTTATTAGAGGTCTTGGGAGGGACTAGATATTCTATTGGCTGTGTTGTATTACTAGGTTATTGGATGTCATTGTGAGGGACTAGTGATACTATTAGTTGTGTTGTAATACGGGGTCATTGGAGGTCATTGTGAGGGACTAGTGATACTATTAGTTGTGTTGTATTACGGGGTCATTGGAGGTCATTGTGAGCGAGTAGATTCTATTGGCTGTGTTGTGTTACTTGGTTATTGGAGGTCATATCAAGGATTATATTTGCTATGTTGTGATATATGTGTTCGTAAGGGATCGTTGTAGGTGTGTAACTGCGGCCATTATAGGGACCAGGGATTCATAGGGAGTCTATAGGGGTCATCGGGAGGGACCAGGATACTAATGGTGTAACGGTATTATAGACATGGACCACTGTCGATTGCTGTTGTGTTATCTACCTATAAACAATATTGATTTGACATCAATGCAGACAAATATTGTAATTAGACTAGAAAACAAACAAGGATCTACACGCTATCTATCCTATACACGCCATTTAGACAGATGATTTCATCTAAATTAATCGATTCAAGCTGAGGCTAGGTGTGTGTAAGTAGATATATATCATTATTGTATGCACATGAAGGGACAACAGAATAGCCTTAAGTGAACATTTTCGTCAAAAATCAGACAGTCGGTTACCGCATGCAAAATTTAGACTTTCCCACGCTTTTCCTTAAAACGATCGATGGTAACATAATTATATTTGCCAATACGAAGTCACTCACAAACTAAAAACCTTATAAAATATATTTTGTTCAAGGCGGTGTGTGAATTGCCCTCGAATTTGTCAATATGCATGCTTCTAAAGATTGTTTACTTGGGGCTGTCATTGAAACGCCAAGACAGCCATGTCTATTGTTCCGTTCGATCTATAATAGGAATCGTCTTTTGTCTGAAGAGTTTGGATTGAACCTCTGGAAACAATCATGATTCCAATTTTAGACGTTATCTGTGAAATAATCTCGACCCGAGTCATTAAACCCACGAACATGAGTCACATTGAGTACTGAGGGTTGGATTGGCCGACATTGTTTACGAACATTTGTGGCCAGGCATGTTTGAAGCATTTATCTTGTATACCAGTGGTTGATATAATTACTAAGGTAACATCATATTAAAGCTTCGACCGTAGTCATCTTACAAAGCACTGTACATGAGCCAATGAAAGACCCTCTTACAAAATACTCACTATCCCACAAATACAAGCGATGGAGTTCCCGCTTCGTTCGTTCATCTCTAACACGATTCGTGTCCCTTGTGTCATATTTTCTGAAACTAAAAGCATGATGTCCCCGTCCATCGATTCGGAGAGGGGGCAGTTCGCCCCCACTTCCGGTCCTGTTTCGGTTGTCTGCCTGCTGCTGAGCTGCTCTTCTTTTCTTTTCAGAATCAAACAAGTCGAAGAAGAAATCCATTGTTTACAAAGTTTCGGTTTAGGATAGTAACCACACTGTACGGTCCACCGGTTCTACACTTCACACTATGGGTCAGACAAAGGGCACATATTTCCAGAATTAATTCACTACCAACACAAAACAAGATGCTAGCCTTAGCTGATAGCAGGTTTAGAAGCAAGGGGCTGGTTTTCCTTCGGGTCTTGTAATACGATCCTCTCTTAATAGATGCAGTCCATTGGGATAACCTCGTTCTTTACCGTAGTACGTGTGTGTAGTATTTGCGTTTTCCCCTGATGGGACATCGAATAAAAAGTTGTGTGATAAGCGAATCCAATGTGTTGGTGTGTTTAGTTTGGTGGCGACTAGCCCCTGACTAACAGTAGGGCTTTCTCCAGCATTTGGGACGTACTTGGGAAGCCAGGTGTGACTAAAGCTGGAACCTGACACTCTTGATTGATGGCCCATTCACACCGACACACACTTGTAATATATAGGTACACAGGTACATCCGTCTGCTCTACAATTATTGTTATTGCATTCTATCGAGCGACAAAACACGAAATAAAGTACAGACTCGTTTCCGATCCACCAATTATTTGATTCATATAATGCCTGTTCATATAAAAAAAAATCAGACAGTTCGTATTGGCGGTGCGCTAGCTATTGACATGCGTATTTCGGCGGGATACAGTTACGGACCCACTGAACCCACACAATGCCCTTTGGGTAGTGTTCGCTATAAATAGCGGATAAAGGGACAGAAATAGCTATGAAAGGATCCATTTTCCGGTTTTGACTGAAGTGGTGTGCTATTACGCGAGAAAGCATTCGGAACAGAGTGTCGTTCAAATTGTTTTTTCATTATTTTATAAAAGTGCGACACGGTACCCAAAACTGCTTTCTCTGTTATATCTACACGTGTAAGTTGGTTAGTAGTACTGTCAGCCCCCATATTGGCACGTACACCGTAAAAACGGAACACGTGTTACATAATCAACTGTTTGGCATGTAGCCATTGATCACTGGTGCACATGGGGACATACATTCAACCTTAAAAACAGTCATTTGTGTAAACTGGCCAATTTAGACGGCCTTTGTTATGTTTCTCGAATGTCCTGCGTCCGCTTCGACAAGAAAAGTGGTTTCTGATTAATTTCAGGAAATGTTATGATCAATATCTAGAAAGCAGAAAAGAAGAACGGAACAAAATGTATTGAAGAAAATAGAGAAACGGCATGAGAGGAGAGGAGTATTCTATGCAAAACGAACGTACATAATCTACGAACGACGACCAGACAATTAAAGAAAATAGAAAAACGATATGCAGCAACGAACCTACAAAATATCAAAAGTCACATAGCTTTGTGTGGAGAGGAATATTCCATGTAAAACGAAAGTACATAATCTAGGCATGACAACCAGACAATGAAAGTCAATGTATGGTGATATCACAACAATGTATGGTAACTTATATAATAAACTATAATATAACGGTAAACTGGCAATACTTATACAAGAGGCCCAGAGGGCCTGTATCGCTCACCTGGATATCTAAGCAATCATGGCAAAATATTTTCCAAATAAGATCCAAGGGAATATGCCAGACCCCAATGCCAATCCTTGTAGCATATCTGTATTAGATTTTTCATGCCCAGCAATTTTATGTATGGTTATGGGGTGGGGATCTCAACTGTTTCCAAGCTGTAACTCAGAAACTAGGTCCCTAGCTAGGGTTGTCGCCAGACCCCAGGATCAATTATAATATCATGACTGCATTTTCTCTTTGCCAAGCGTTTGTATATATAGTTTTGGGGTGGGTATCTCAACCGTTTCAAAGTTATGACCCAGGGGTTAAGTCTGCAAGGATGGGGCAGACCCTGGAGTCAATTCTAATATCATGTCTGCATTCGTCTCTTTATGCCCAACAATTGTATATATAGTTTTGGGGTGGGGATCTTAACCATTTCGAAGTTATGATCCAGGGGTTAAGTCTGCAAGGATGGGGCAGACCCTGGGGTCAATTCTAATATCATGTCTGCATTCGTCTCTTTATGCCCAACAATTGTATATATAGTTTTGGGGTGGGGATCTTAACCATTTCGAAGTTATGATCCAGGGGTTAAGTCTGCAAGGATGGGGCAGACCCTGGGGTCAATTCTAATATCATGTCTGCATTCGTCTCTTTATGCCCAACAATTGTATATATAGTTTTGGGGTGGGGATCTTAACCATTTCGAAGTTATGATCCAGGGGTTAAGTCTGCAAGGATGGGGCAGACCCTGGGGTCAATTCTAATATCATGTCTGCATTCGTCTCTTTATGCCCAACAATTGTATATATAGTTTTGGGGTGGGGATCTTAACCATTTCGAAGTTATGATCCAGGGATTAAGTCTGCAAGGATGGGGCAGACCCTGGGGTCAATTCTAATATCATGTCTGCATTCGTCTCTTTATGCCCAACAATTGTATATATAGTTTTGGGGTGGGGATCTTAACCATTTCGAAGTTATGATCCAGGGTTTAAGTCTCCAAGGGTGGGGCAGTCCCCAAGGCCATCCTGGAAGCATATGTGCATTCATCTCTTAATACTCAGCAATTGTATATATGGTAATAGGGTGGGGATCTCAACTGTTTCCAAGCTGTGACTATGAAACTAGGTCCCTAGAGGTTCGGTCAGACCCCAGGATCTATTCTAATATAATGACTGCATTCGTCTCTTTAAGCCCAGTATTTGTATATATAGTTTTGGGGTGGGGATCTCAACCGGTTTAAAGATATGGTCCAGGGACTATGTCTCCAAGGGTGGGGCCAGACCATAGGGCCACCCTGGAAGCAAATGTGCACTCTTCTCTTTATACTCAACAATTGTATATATGGTTATACGGTGGGGATTTCAACCATTTCCAAGTAATAAACATTTTTTTGCCCCACCCCTTAGCCCGGGTGAAGCTGATGTAATATAACGGTAACCTGGTGACACTAACATAATGTAACGGTAACCTGGTGACACTAACATAATATAACGGTAACCTGGTGACACTTATATAATATAACGGCAACCTGGCGACACTAACATAATGTAACGGTAACCTGGTGAAGCAAATATAAGGAACCGGGCGATACTAACATAATATACCGGTTACCTGGCGACAATTATATAATATAACGGTAACCTGGCGTCACTTATATAATATAACGGTAACCCGGTGTCACTAATATAACGGTAACCTGGTGACACTAATATAATATAACGGTAACCTGGTAACACTAATATAATATAACGGTAACCTGGTGACACTAATATACTGTAACAGTAACCTGATGACACTAATATAACGGTTACCTGGTTACACTAATACAATATAACGGTAACCTGGCAACACTAATATAACAGTAACCTGGCAACACTCATATAACAGTAACCTGATGACACTAATATAACGGTAACCTGGTTACACTAATGCAATGTAACGGTAACATGGCAACCCTTAGGCTATAATATAACGGTAACCTGGTAACACTATTATAATATAACGGTAACCTGGTGTCACTAATATAATATAACGGTAACCTGGTGTCACTAATATAATATAATGGTAAACTGGTGACACTAATATAATATAACGGTAACCTGGCAACACTTATATAATATAACGGTAACCTGGTAACACTATTATAATATAACGGTAACCTGGTGTCACTAATATAATATAACGGTAACCTGGTGACACTTATATAATATATTGGTAACCTGGTGACACTAATATAATATAATGGTAACCTGGTGACACTAATATAATATAACGGTAACGAACACTAAGGTTTTCTAACAACCAATGCCTTGTTATAACAAGTTATTAGTTAGAAAAGCGTCAACGGTAGAGGTCATAATTGCATTACAGGCCTGAAAAGAAATATTAACAAAATTGGCTTCAAATAGTAAATAGGTAATAATTCTTGCTTTAAAAATTGTCTGAAGAAGGTTTTCATGGGAAAATGTCAATTTTTCGGTCATTATATCAAAATAATGAAGAAGACTACGAAAAGTAATATTGGCGATAGGCCGTGAGGATTGAATACACATGACTGTATTACTGGCCGTGAGGATTGAATACACATGACTGTATTACTGACCGTGAGGATTGAATACACATGACGGTATTACTGGCCGTGAGGACTGAATACACATGACAGTAGTACTGGCCGTGAGGACTGAATACACATGACGGTAGTACTGGCCGTGGGGACTGAATACACATGACTGTATTACTGGCCGTGAGGACTGAATACACATGGCGGTATTACTGGCCGTGATGACTGAATACACATGACGGTAATACTGGCCGTGAGGACTGAATTCACAAGATGGTAGTACTGGCCGTGAGGACTGAATACACATGACGGTCGTACTGGCCGTGAGGACTGAATTCACAAGATGGTAGTACTGGCCGTTAGAACTGAATACACATGACGGTAGTACTGGCCGTGATGACTGAATACACATGACGGTATTACTGGCCGTGAGGACTGAATACACAAGACGGTAGTACTGGCCGTGAGGACTGAATCCACATGACGGTAGTCCTGGCCGTGAGGATTGAATACACATGACGGTAGTACTGGCCGTGATGCCTGAATACACATGACGGTATTACTGGCCGTGATGACTGAATACACATGACGGTAGTTCTGACCGTGAGGACTGAATACACATGACGATAGTACTGGCCGTGAGGACTGAATACACATGACGGTAGTACTGGCCGTTAGGACTTAATTCACAAGATGGTAGTACTGGCCGTGAGGACTGAATTCACATGACGGTAGTACTGGCCGTGAGGACTGAATACACATGACGGTAGTACTGGCCGTGATGACTGAATATACATGACGGTAGTACTGGCCGTGATGACTGAATACACATGACGGTGTTACCGGCCGTGATGACTGAATACACATGACGGTAGTACTGGCCTTGATGACTGAATACACATGACGGTAGTACTGGCCGTGAGGACTGAATACACATGACGGTATTACTGGCCGTGAGAATAGAATACACATGACGGTATTACTAACATCCGGTAATAAAATATAACGGAGATCGCTGGTGGAACGGCCTTAACGAAGAATTACATAGAATAATATTAGGATATATTAAAAATTATGGTATATTTAGGATGAAATTAAATGAACGAAATTTTCTATTTTATGGCTATTTTTAGACGTGGCTGCATGGATGCCTTGATTTATGCTTAGTTATTTCGGGAAGACAGTTAATGATCAGTACTTCAAAGGCATACATAGAATTAAATTATCATTACGTGGACTAAATATAGAAACCGGTGGATATAATATTGATCGTAGAAATATACCAGTACACTTTGTATATAAAGCAATCAAATACCACTTTCTTCAGGTGTCCTCATTTTAAAGCATTACACAAATCTCTAATTAAACTTTAATTAAAGAAAAAATACAAATGCATTTAAACTAGAATGCTGCTCAAAAAAAAGAAGCAAGAAGAACAAATCAAATATGTCAGGAAACAACAAAATTTATATTTTGTCGGGTCAAGAG